CAGGCTACTAATATTATATGCATCTATCCTCCATTGGTTCTCCCAAGTGTACAATTTCCATCTGCAGCAAAAAAAAGCTCCGATTTCAGAGATCTGCAACTCTTCTTATTTTCCAACTTCTACCACTTGCACCGTCAGTTTTGGACTTGCATTGGTGTAACCCATGACCATTAAAATGCTCCTAGAACACTCTGGGCATGCTGTTGCTGTTTAATTCCTGTATAAGAAGGGAGCTGTAAACTCAGTGCTATGAAGACCAAAAGTGAATGATTCTGATGTAATTGAAAAGCCTTGTGTTTGTTTTATGGAGAATTAAATACTTCATTGCTCATTTAAAATCACTTCTGTCAGTCGTAGTTTTTTATAAAAGTTCCAGTGTTTCATTCATGCTATGTTTTACTTTCCAGGTTCAAGATATATAGAAACTTAAAAACAAACTTTCTACAACTCCTTGTTTCAGCGATTGAGAGAAACCCTTTATTTGGATAAAGCTTTGTTTATTTATTGCTGATGTAAACAGTGTAAAGGTTTCATTGATTTATGACCATTGTGATTTTTGCCTGTCAGTTTTTAGCACTGGAAATAATTTAGTCATTGCGATAGCACAGTGTGATAAAGGTGTATCGTGTGTATTATCATCATTTAGGAATTCGTTCTTTTTAACATAGAGGCAGGTGTATTTTGGTTTCAGTTCTTGGAATTTCTGGGATCTTTTCTGAGGTCAAAAAATAATTTGGGAAAATGACCTAAGTTCTACATTTTCCAAGAAAGCATGTGTCTTAGTAATTGCCTATCCAGATACCTATAATGTTAATTGATTACGTGTTTATCTTGCCGAGTTCATGACTACAGGAAGAAAAACAGTCGGGGTAACATTGATAGTTTAGTTCGAGTTCAGTTCAGGAGAACAGTTTCTTTCTAGCAGCAGAGTAGTTTTAGGCTTATAGAGTCTCCAGTTTGTGAGAGTTTACAGATCTTTCTTGGCTGTCAGAATGGAAAAGGAATCCAGGTCCTCAGAACTGAAAGGAAGTTCAGGCCATCCAAACTGGAAAGGAGCCTTTACAGTGTTTCTACAGTTCAAGGAGGAAAACTTGAAAGAGGTAGTTAGTAAGGAATTAGGGTTAAAATAGGAGTGATATTTCTCTGGGATTACATATCTGAAAAGTGTTGAGAGCTGCATTATTTTTATTTTTATTTTTATTTTTATTTATATTCTCATTTTTGATTGAAACCGATCTTTGGACTGTGAACGGTTTCTTTTTTTTTCCCCTTTATAAAAGGGAAGGAACAAACAAACTGATTTTTTTTAGTGGGGCCTGGCTTGGAAGTTAATTGCAGGTTGATTATTGTACCAAGAACATTTTAGATGTTTCGGCTCTGGAGATATTATGCTTGAAGGCTGGGAGATATTTGGATATTTAAAAAGGACCATCACAGGGAGCTAGTTCCAACCAGTCTAATAAAGAGAATGTCAGAAAAACATAGAACAAGAAACCAAAGTTTGAACTGGGTTTGGACTAAGTTTTTTACACCGAGAGGTTGTGGCTGTGAAAGCTGCTGGAAGGAGTTTGGTTGTGTGTACAGTTACCTTCCCATTATGTCTTACTGAAAGTTTGGAGAATACAAAACCAGTTATAAGAAATAATTGAATATTCCTCAGAACCTACTGAAAGCTACGTACAAAGCTATGGATACGCTACGTGGACGACACTTTTGTCATCATTAAACGGACCAAACTAGAGGAAACGCACAAACTAATAAACAACACCCTCACCGAAATCAAATTCACCAGAGAGGAACAAACAGCTCCCATTCCTGGACGTCATGGTAGAGCGCAGGACAAATGGGGAATTCCAAACGGAAGTACACAGAAAAGCCACACGCACTGACCAGGTGCTGTATGTCAACAATAACCATCCTAACACGCACAAACAAAGCTGCAAGATAACACTACTTAAACGGGCAACAACACACTGCAGCAGCACAGAACTACGCCGAGAAGAAGAAGAGGAATGCCTCTTCCAGGTTTGCAAAGATAATGGATATCCAAAAAACTGGGTCAGAAGATGCCTACATGAACAACACCAGGAAGATACTACATGCCTCGACACACTCATTGCGCTACCTTACATCAGGAACTAACCACAAGACTCCTACAACCACTGGGCATCAGAGTAACACACAAACCCACATCAACCCTACGACAACTGCTCTGCTCAACCCAACCAAAGACCCACTACCCACTATGGACAGGACCAATGTCAAATATAAGATTCCCTGCACAGACTCTGACAAACACTACATCGGACAAACAGGAAGGAAATTAACAACGAGGGTACACTAACACCATTGGCAACAAAAAGACACGACCAATACTCACTCATCTCTATCCACATGGATAAGGAGAACCACCAATTCAACTGGAACGACACCAAGATCCTGGGACAAGCAAAGCTGAGACAGGCACGGGAGTTCCTAGAAGACTTGTACTCCACAAAGAAAGCATCAACAAACACACAGAACTCGACCCCATATACACTCCACTGCGAAGGAAAACTGGAAGTGAGGTAATCCAGCTCAACCGACTGCAGAGTTTAAAAATCAGACGGAAAAACACAACGGCGCTTCAAACACAACGGCGCTTCATCGGAGGCTGCACTGATGATGTTACCCAGCAGGGTAATGAAACGTCTGCGGAACAATGAACGAGCTTGGCGAGGCAACCAACTACAACAGCTACTTGCGTTGATAAATGTTTTCAGAAATCGAGCAAATTACAATCCCATGTGTCTCTGATACTGGAGAAATTATGTAGACTGGGACTATAATCATTGGAATTTAAAAGAATGACGGGGGATCTTATAGAAACATATAAAATTATGAAGGGAATGGATAGAAGCGGGGAGGTTGTTTCTACTGGTGGGTGAAACTACAACGAGGGGGCTTAGCCTCAAAATTAGGGGGAGCAGATTTAGGACTGAGTAGAGGAGGAACTCCTTTTCCAAAAGGGTTGTGAATCTGTGGAATTCCCTGCCCAGTGTAAAAATCAACCATGATATTTTTGAATGGCAAGCAGGCTTGAGGGGCCAGATGACCTATTCCTGCTCCTATTTCTTACATTCTTATGCATGTAATTGAAACTGTTTGAGTGAACTGGCCAGTTACAACCTCTAGTTTTCTTTTAATTTATTCCTTAACTGTGATGGCTGGCTGTCTGTATATCTGTGAGACAGGGCTGTGTTCAAAGAAGATTGAGTTTAAATGGCGGACATTACTTAGATTACCTTGTTGTTTAGGTTTGTTCTGCTAAAGTTACAATATTAATAATTATTAATTTTTGCTTAAGTACAAATTTAGTGTCTGATGTTGGTCATTTGTAAAGTCTGGTTAGGAGCCGTTGGAGCAATTTGGGGGTCAATGTTTTAATATTTACTGTGTTGTGAAAATAGGGATAGGGAGGTGGATTTGGTTTGGCTTGCTGCCCCCATGGTGTAACATTGCTTGAAAAAGCTTGAATTTTTGTTTTGTGGTTTATGTTGAGATCATTTCAAATTATACGTTTTGTTTTAAATTTCATGAAATGTATTTGTGTTTCAAAAAAATTGGTATCCTTGTGTGAATATGTTCAGTGACTAACCAACATCAAAAATTAAAATTCAGATCCACAAAGTCAGCTTTCACTCTGGGATCTAACTTGACCCGCATTTCAATTAGCTGAGATCGTAACATCAGCAACAGCTGTTTCCTTGTGTTGTTTTTAGTTTTAAAGATGTTCTTTAAGAAAGTGATTTTTGTTTTGTGTACTTAAGTACAGTATTGTGGCAAACAGAATGTGGGTTGCTTAGGATTTAGCAGACAAATACCGATTTCTATTTAAAAAATAGTTCTTGGGATGTGGATGTCCAAGGTAAGTTGCTTTAATTGTCATATCCATTTTATTCTCTCTCTCAAATCTGACACAAAACACTAATTTCAATTGATTTCTTTGATTATATTTGACACATGCAATAGTCAGTGAGCCATGAGGTTTTTGGATTTTGAGGTAACAATGATTGAGATGAAGCTCAGATTGCTTTTTGGCAGCTGTGGAACACCTTGAATTCTATCCTTCCCCAGAGGACGTTAGTAAAAACATTGGGTTTTTGTGACAAATATATACCTTCATGGTCACTGTTTTTAAAAAATACTGGATGCTA